GAACTGAACATGACCGAAAGGTATTCTGTTTGTCATGGGAAAATTAAAAAACGCAAGTTTCCAAATCAATAAATAGATATTTCCTACACTCAAACAAGTAGCCTAGCCTCAAAGTACTTAAATACATATATTTAGAACCTTGTCCAGCCATAAGTTCTGTTACAAATGAAAATTCATTTTTTTAATGAAGTAATGTAATATTATATTTGTTTCTTAGGTTTTCACTCACATCACTCATTAAATAAGACTAGTTTTAACGGATTAATATATGAACTTTATTTATTTATTGACGTTTCGCAGCCTTTTCAGGTCTGCATCGTCAGAATAATGAAATAAGAAAAAAAATGGTTGCCTGTAAAGTCGGTTTTACGGGCGAAGATTTTACGTGACAACGTCTTTTTCTCGGTAGAATATTTATTGATATGAATATAATTAAATTGCACAATAGGAACAAGGAATTGAATGAAAATAAGAATTGCACAAATTTTAACTATAGAAATATATTTTGTTTACTAAAACATTGTACATGTAAACTTAAACTTAACACGAGAGACTCATCGTAACGTTACCGAGCGTTACACTTTTTCATAAGTGACTCCCAGCCGCAACCTAATTTAAGACGTTGTCACGTCAAAAGATTAACATGCTGCGAAACGTCAATAAATAAATAAAGTTCGTGCATTAACCCGTTAAAACTAGTTTTATTGAATGTAATATTATTAAAATTTTATATCTTACGTAGATATTAAAATCTCAGTAAAATATATAAAAAAAAATGTATTCGAAATGGGCTTTGGCTTTCATCTGGCCTTTAATCTGTTTAGCCGCGAATGTATGGATTGACGCACTGTTTCTAAGTAAAATTTTGCCACTTCTTGCCGCAAAGATTTTTAAGAGACAATATCGCCGTTTCGTTTAGTGCAGGCCATGTCCTCTAAAACTGACCATAATTTCGAGTCCAAAGGGTTGAGGTCTGGGCTAGATGAGGACCAGTCTTCAGCTGTTATAAAGTCCGGAACCAGGTGCAGAATCCTGCTGGAAAGTCCACGGTATATTTTTAAAAAGTGTATTGCTAAGGCCCGTATTACAGAATGACAACTAAGTGTTGTTGTTGTGTTGACAAGTAAAGACTTGAATACTGTTAGAAAGGAATGTCGCTATGTGCTATATATAGCGACATCCCTTTTTATCTATGCTCAAGACTAGATTCATTATTGAGAATCTTTATATAATACGGGCCTTAGAGTTTTCACAAAATGATCCAAGACTGTATCTTGTTACACTTTGGCTGAAGTTCTCACTCCTTTTGACGTGACAACGTCTTAAATTAGGTTGCGGCTGGGAGTCACTTATGAAAAAGTGTAACGCTCGGTAACGTTACGATGAGTCTCTCGTGTTAAGTTTAAGTTTACATGTACAATGTTTTAGTAAACAAAATATATTTCTATAGTTAAAATTTGTGCAATTCTTATTTTCATTCAATTCCTTGTTCCTATTGTGCAATTTAATTATATTCATATCAATAAATATTCTACCGAGAAAAAGACGTTGTCACGTAAAATCTTCGCCCGTAAAACCGACTTTACAGGCAACCATTTTTTTCACAAAAATGTAGTTTTGTGACTCGCCCACCAAACCCACCTTATTGTAGTGTTCTTCAATCGTGAAAAAATTTTCATCGGTAAAGAAGATATTTGTGTGCTTTTCACCTACGTATCCCGACAGAAGACGTTTTGATCGATCCGCTCTCTTTGATTGTAAAGATTGATTCAGTGCATGTCCTGTATATCGACGATAAGCACCGAACTTCAGGTCTTGTTTTATAATACATGACAGAGTCCTCGCGGGAATCTTCATTTCTCGCGATAAGATTTTTTGCTTTCTAATGGGGTTTCGACGAATACAGCATTAACAGCCTTTGTAGATTTTGATCTTCGACAGTCGAAGTGTTGTTGTATCTGTTGATAGTACGATATACGAACATACGGCTGATACCAAGCTTTTGAAGCGTCAGGAATATTATAGACGGCTCCATACCCGCTTTGTGCAAGGCGATCACTGCAATCCTATTTTCTTTATCACCCCATTCCATATTGTCATTTGAAAATGAACACGAAAAAATATGTGAAATGGCGCAAAATTGAATTTTAGAAGTTATTGAAAAATTATACGTGTTCCAAATTCTAAATAATTAAAAAGGTGAAAAAGATATAAGTTTTTATGTAACAATATTTATGACCAGACCAGTTACAACATACCTTTAATCCCGGAAAAAAGTTTGGTCCCTGTGGGATTCTCAAAAAAACGAAAGGTAACGCGAAACGCCGATATGATTATTTCAATTTAATAGAAGAACTTAAATAGTCGAGTTTTTGCCTAAATATAACTATTCATTATTATGATTATTAAAATACCTACATCGAATTTAAACTTCTTCATTTACCACGCAGTTTCTATTACAGTGTGCGCACGCCAGTTCCTAATCCCGTATTCCGTAGAATTCTGATAAACTAACTATAGAAAATTCCACAAAATAAATTTATTTCGCTAAATACTTCTATATATAAAACTAGCAAACCAGGCGAACTCCGTTTCGCCATCAGATGGCTTCGTTTTATGTAACATTTCGTTTGGTGATTAAAAGAAGAATTTTTTTTTTTGAAATTTTTCCTGAATTTTCTTTGCTATAAACCTCACGGAGCCCGAGACCTTTCCAACGAATGCAAAACCGTGGAAATCGGTTGGTGCATTCTGGAGTTATAGCGTCAGGAAGGAAAACCCGACTTATTTTTATATAGTAGATAAAGATTACTTCTCTAGGCGGGCAATCCAATTTCTTTTTGAGTGTGTATGCTGTTGGTCGCAGATGACCTTTACAGCGTCACCGGGCTTGAAGACGGTATAATTGTAAGGGGACCTCAAGCCGAGAATAGGGATGAGGACTAATTTTTTTTCTTCGTTTATCAGGTAGATTATCAAAAAGTGTTGGACGCGTATTTTTTCTTTTCTCACATAATATAAACATTGCAGAGATATATTCATTTGAAAAGTCACATGACATCACGTTTGAGTACACTTTTAAGAGAAAATTCACTAAAAAGTGACGTCACGAGCCCCTACTCCCAAACTTTGACGCGCTATAACTTTGTCATTTTTTGGTTGATTGCCCAAAGAAAAAATACGTGTCCATTTTTTTTTGATCATCTAACAGACGAACTAAATAGAATTTCGTTTACTGTACCCCGTCATCACCTTTATTGGCGAGTGCCTCTAGAGGTATTCCAGGCGGATGGCATCTCCCCACGGGGGGAGTCTCCTCTCCGTCTGGAGCCTCTAGAGCACTCGAAGGGCAATCCAACTCAAGCCGAAGTCCTCTAAGCGCTGCCTCTCCTTTATCTATTTCGAAATAAGAAATTACTTGATTTTATTTATTTTTTAAGCATTTAACTGCTAGATGTTTAAATCTAAAGAAAAGTTTACTAGAAAAAAATCCACGCGCACCAGGCAGCGGACGGGACTCGAACCCGCATCCTTCGCTATCCGGGCGAATGCACTGACCATTATGCTACCACGGCCCTACTAGCCGCGTCGAAATTTTCCTAGCCTTAAGCTGCAAGGCAGCAGGCAAAGTATTAATTTGACATTGTGGGTTACCTACAATGCGAAGAGATGGTCGCATTGTAGGTAACCCACAATGTCATATTAATACTTTTTCAAGTATTAAACATTTGAAAGAAGAAATAGCAAGAAATTACTTTTCTTTATAACCCTTATAAAATATTTGAGACCAAAATCAATAAATTTATTTCATGGTTTTCGAAATAAATACTTATTGTAAGGTTTTGTATAAAATTGTATCAATCGGTTTAAGAAGACGATAGAAGTTAAGAACGATAAGGGTGACATGGCCTATAATAGACAAAACCCTTTAAAAAAAAAATAAAGAATATACTTTTTAATCGTACAAAGACGTGATTAATAGGTACGACAAGTAATATATAATATTGCAAAATTTTAACTGTTTTATAAGAATTGGGGAAGCAGATATAAACAAAACTTCGATCTTATAGTCAACGAAGAAAAGAATTCAACGCGTCACGTTGTTTAAGAACTTAATTTTAGCCGCCTTAAACAGATGTGTCTAAACTCTTATCTATTAGACAAGTCCGTCCGTCCGTCCGTGGTGCTGTTTCAGCGGCCAAACCGTAAGAAATAGATAAAGAGAATGTTTAAGTTATAAGTTGAGAATAGTCTGATAAGACTACAAACCGGATGTGAGTAACGTAGCACTTCCGGTTTTCCAGAAATCACGTGATTTCTATTTCAAACGAAACCACATAAAATCTCCGAAATTCTCAATTAATTAAATACATTTTTTTTTTGGTGAACATTCGGTTCACTGGTTTGCTAGTTAAAGTATAACTAGCAAACCAGTGAACCAAATGTTCACCAAAACCTGATTTCTCGAAAACCGGAAGTGCTACGTTACTCAAATCCGGTTTGTAGTCTTATCAGACTATTCTTAACTTATAACTTAAATATTCTCTTTATCTATCTCTTACGGTTTGGCCGCTGAAACAGCACCACAGACAGACGGACTTGTCTAATAGATAAGAGATATTATAATAAATAATTTAATGTAGATCATTTATTCCAACTACCATTCTTAAATACTGATACGCATATCAATACACCAATAAATTGTACTTGTTACGAAAATAACCCCGCAAACTGTAGGGTCGTCGAAAAAGTCAAACGCATTCTGTCAAACAATACGGAATATCGGCGCACGCACCCGGGGGAGAGAATAATTAATGATGATTGGCCTCAAATTACCCTCTCAAAAGCATCTCCGTCCTGCTCACGCACTAATGGAAAAATCAAGTGCACCCTTTCCCGCAACACGGGAACCTATATAAGCAGGCACAGGTAACAGCCGACGGCATACCCCCGTGGGATTCCAAATCGTAAGCACCCGTGTCGAAAGCGTTACCAAAAAAATGGCAGCCGAAACTTACGGACACCGATTTTACACCGAGAAAGACATGTTCGCATCTGATGTGATGATGGAGTATAATACTGAGGAGTGTTACCTTGCCTGGCCGAGGTCTCCTGACTCGGGAAGGTCCAGTTTGGAGCCCACACCTTCCATCGATGGAAGCCTGAATCAAGATTCTCCGAACCACATCGCGTATCGAGGATTGACGCATGACATTTTGGAGGACAGTGCTGAAGATAACGAGATCTTGGAAGGATCTGGGAAGAGACGTGGTCGAGCTACTAGTGCAGCAGTGTTGAGGAGACGTCGCTTAGCAGCCAATGCTCGGGAAAGAAGGCGGATGCAGAATCTCAATAAAGCCTTTGACAGACTCCGGGGACACTTGCCGTCGCTGGGAGCCGATCGCCAACTATCCAAATACGAAACTCTACAGATGGCGCAAACTTATATAGCAGCTTTGTACGAGCTGCTACAGTAGACTCTCAGGTAAATAATAGAACGTAGTTAACTTTGTAGAAATAGAAAGACTTTGTAGAAATGGAAATACTTTGTAGAAATGGAACGACTTTGTAGAAATGGAAAGACTTTGTAGAAATGGAAAGAAATAGGTTAGGCTTAGATTTTAATCACCAAAATATAGTTAAATTTTAAATAGTACAGGGATAATTTATAGCGGAGTATTATACTCACTGTGTTACCATGTAGGTGTAAAAAATAATTTACTTAATAATAAAATTAACCTTTTCGCGCGGGGACGAAATTAAATTACATTGTAGATATAAAGTTACGCCGGATAGTGTTACTTTTTAAAACCTTACGCTTGTTAGTTTTAATACTCTTTGACTTTTTTTTAGTTTAAAAAAAAATGATTCTTGCCAATGTTGAGTGTGATCCGTCCGTGTATTTTTTAGTTTTTTAAGTCGTCATCTTGCCTGTGACAGTATTTAACTGAGTAAGTATTAGGTAATTTATTAGTAGTAATGATTAAGCTGCTTTCTGTAGTCATGATGAAGTCTGGATTTGACTAAAAATTTAGTAGGTAAATTCTTTGTATTTTTTCTTTATATAATTCTTCTTTGAGTGTGTATGTCACTGAACTTCTCTTAAACGACTGGACCGATTTTGATGAAATTTTTTGTGTGTGTTCAAGGGGATCTGAGAATGGTTTAGATTCACAATTTTGTCCGCTGGACAATGTTTTTTTAATTAAATTTTTTTATGGCTGTACGAAGTTCGCTGGGTCAGCTAGTAAAATATAAAATTGTTTATTACATTTTCACAAACTATACTGATTTGAAAAAGTACATTTGATCGAGTTGCAAAGGTTGGTTTTTTTAAATTTACCAGTTTTTTTTAAGTATTGCACCTTTTTCGGTTTTGGATGAATTATTCAATGCGAGCTTTGTAATCCGTTTATGAGTGTTAGCTTTCATTATTTAAGTAGGAAAACAGTTAATTTGTACGTAAACATTCATTAAATATGTTAATGGCTTATTATAAAATAATATTGTTAGTAGACGCTCTTCTGGTCTGAGCACAGATGTTTGGGATTGTATTAAAATTGTTATGATACTTAAGAAAGCCAAAAAGTACCCCGGTAGCCTAGTGGTAAAGGTGTGCCGAACAGCGAAAGCCGCAGGTTCACTTCCTGACAGAAGCTTTTTTCAATGCTCCATTCATTAAATGTAACTATACTTATTTTCCTATTTTTTCTTTAATAGAAATAGCAGCTGTGTTACCTGTATTTCTTTACGATGTAGGACTGTGTTGCCAGTATAGTTATAGCTGTATAAATTATGTTGTTATTGGACACTATCGAATAGAAAGGTGTACCGAACAGCGAAAGCCGCAGGTTCTCTTCCCGATAGAAGCTTTTTTCAATGCTCCATTTATTAGATGTAACTATATTTATTTTCCTATTTTTTCTTTATGACAAATAGCAGCTGTGTTACCTGTATTTCTAAACGACGTAGGACTGTGTTGCCAGTATAGTTATAGTTGTATAAATTATGTTGTTATTGGACACTATCGAATAGAAAGGTGTACCGAACAGCGAAAGCCGCAGGTTCTCTTCCCGGTAGAAGCTTTTTTCAAAGCTCCATTTATTAAATGTAACTATATTTATTTTCCTATTTTTTCTTTAATAGAAGTAGCAGCTGTGTTACCTGTATTTCTTTACGATGTAGAACTGTGTTGCCAGTATAGTTATAGATCTATAAATTATGTTGTTATTGGATACTATCGAATAGTAATCTGGTTATGTATATATGTATGTGATTTTAATACTTGACGTTTCAATTTGTAAATATACGAATTATGTTTGTATAACTATGTCTTTATGTTTTATTTTCCCTTAACTTTTTTGTGTGTGGACTTTGTAAGTTACACCTGGAGTAAGAATCATACTCCCAGGATTAAACTAATACGCTACGGTGTGAATCCAATCGTAAGTATAAAATAAATAAATATTTCCAACTTTCACTCCAATAGGGATGATGACTATTTTTTTTTCTTCGTTTACCAGGTAGATTATATTGATATTGGACACGTATTTTTTCTTTTTTCACATAATATAATCATTGCAGAGATATATTGATTTGAAAAGTCTCATGACGTCACGTTTTGGTACAATTTTCACTTAAAAGTGACGAGGCCCTACTCCCAAACTTTGACGCGCTATAACTTTGTCATTTTTTGGTTGATTGCCCAAAGAAAAAATACGTGTCCATTATTTTTTGATCATCTAACTGACGGACTAAATAGAATTTCGTTTACTGTACACCGTCATCACCCCTAATAGCCTAGTCCCAAAGTAAGCACTGTAAGGCTTGTGTTATAGGATATTAGGGTAACGGATTGAATACATATACTGTACATATACAAGTATATTTATATACAAATACATATTAAACATCGACGGCTGGAGTACAAATGCTCGTATTCATCACACAAACATCTGCCCCACCGGGATTCGAACCCGGGACCTCTCGAGTCGGCGACACCATGAAACCCGGCGTACAAACCACTCGACCACGGAGGTCGTCGTAAGTATATACCATTCAAATTAGAAGGCCTACTCTAATTTAATGAAATACTAAATTTAGGTTAAAATTGCGCAAAGGAGATTGCTCAAATTGGCCCAAATGCACAAAAAATATTGACATAATATACGATAATTCTTGGCGTAATTTATACTTTATTTTTCAGTCATTAGATTTTAACGGACACCTTTGTATAATATATTCATTTTAAAAAGGACTTTTAGTTTTACCGGTTTGAAAAACATACGAATCATTTTTAATGGCTATGGGTGTAGTAACATTCAGCCAAAGACTGATCGAAGTTGTTTATATAACATAAAATCAAATGTATTTTGTAAAGGTCGATAAAAAAACATCTTTTATTACACTGTGGTATTAATATCCAGAACTATGTTATCATTTTCACTACATGCAAATGTGCTAAGACAATCATTATTGAGGTTGGCGACATCATAAAGTCTATATAGAACTCGAGATAGTAAATTTTTGGTCACCCATCCAACGACCCACCACTGCGAAAGTTGCTTAACTTCAACGATCGCAGCCGAACACGCTAACCACTTGCGCCATCGAGCTCCTCAATATTTTATTACTAAACATTAATTGTAGCAATTAACTGCTACAAGTAAAACTATGTACCTACTTATTTAATACGCCTTTTATTAACAACTAGCAGCTGCCCGCGATTTCGTCTGAGTTAACTTTTAGTTCTTTCTTTTATTTTCGTAAAAAAAAAAAGATTTTATCTAAAATAAAAGTAGCCTAAGTTACTCTTTATTACATCAGCTACCTGTAAATAAAAGTCCCATTAAAATCGGTCCAGCCATTTCAGAGATTACCCGGAACAAACAGGCAGACAGACAAACAATGTAAAAAATGTTATTTTGGTGTATGTAGGTACCGTATTTAAATATATTATATTTTATTGATTATTTTATATATTGATAAGTATATTTTAAAGATAAAAGTTATTTTGACCTTCGACGAAAGAGCGCCATTCTTCCTTACAGGTTGGCATTGCATTTATTATTATTATTATTTTTTATTATTATTATTATTTTTTTGCCTAAACGGTAGGACACGTCATTCCTAAACTTTGTTAAACCATTTTTTTCTTTACATATTTTTATTTTTTATTTTATAGTCATAATTTTTATATTATTTGCATTTTTTTTGTTTGTAATGGAAAGTGACTTTATGAGTTACCTCATATTGAAGTCATTTTTCAATTTGACGACTCTGTATATAATACAGGGAGAAAAAAACAGCCATTGCTGAGTTTCTTGCCGGTTCTTCTCAGTACAAGGTCTCCCGCCGTAGATTTGCGAACCGAGGGCGTAGCTTTTCGACATTCACAAGTGCTTGTAACAGCCTAGACTGAATAAACGATATTGAATTTTGAATTTTTTTGAATGAATTTGTGATACTCCTGGGGGGCAAATCGCCTACCGAGATTGCTATGGCTTTCGCTATAGTTGACGATTTCAAATTGTTATTTCTGACCGCCGAAGGTTTTCAAATGCCTCGTGCTCTTTTTTTCTTCTGCATTCATCATCATCATCATCAGCCTATTAATGTCCCCACTGCTGGGGCACAGGCCTTCCCTATGGATGGAATAGGGAGATTGGGCCATGACCCACCACGCGGGCCCAGTGCGGATTGGTGGGTGCTAACGACTGCAAATGCAGCCGGGACCAACGGCTTAACGTGCCTTCCGAAGCACGGAGGAGCTCGAGATAGTAAATTTTTGGTCACCCATCCAATGACCGACCACTGCGAAAGTTGCTCAACTTCAACGATCGCAGCCGAACGTGCTAACCACCTGCGCCATCGAGCTCCTCAAGAGCTTCTTCTGCATTGATAAATTACAATATTAAAGAAAATGTGCGTGGAATTATCTCTTCTCTCTTTCAGTTATTACCTACTAGCTGTGCCCCGCGGTGTTACGCGCGGTTTATAAGGGATATTTTCCCGCAGTAGAACGTAACCTATCCAGGTTATCAGTTAACTCCATACCAAATTTTATTAATATCGCTCCAAAGCGACGACCTTCTTGGCCGAGTGGTTTGTACGCCGGGTTTCATGGTTTCGCCGACTTGAGAGGTCCCAGGTTCGAATCCCGGTGGAGGCAGATGTTTGTGTGATGAATACGAGCATTTGTACTCCAGTCATGGATGTTTAATATGTATTTCTATATAAATATACTTATATATGTACAGTATATGTATTCTATCCGTTACCCTAGCATCCCATAACACAAGCCTTACAGTGCTTACTTTGGGGCTAGGCTAGTTGGTGTGAGTTGTTTAAAAAAAAAAAATGGTGACTATAATAATCATAGCACTAACTTTCACACAATTTATTATTCTTTTGGAGTTAAATCGAAACGAATCTCATACTTGAATCGGTTCATAAACATGACTCTCGCCACTTAATC